AAGAAACAGAAAACTATTATATAGTTACGGCATTAAACACAACTGTCCTCTGAGATTTTAGCATGAATTGTGTAGGAAAAGTTATAAGAAACATTAATTCACGAATTTTAATTATTTTTACTAATATTATGCGTGTAAACGCATTAAGTATTAAAAAGTTTTATTTGTAAACTATTCTTGAAGAATTTTATGTGTAAGAATAAGAATGGCTATTCGAATAGAATAAACCCGACCAGACGATCCAAGCTCATAGGTTGATTAAAAATTTAAAACGCACGGTGGGTTGAGCTGCGGGTTAGTAACTTGTTATGTCAGTGGTCAGATATTCAGTTCGCTCGTTAATATTTTAGTAGATAGACAGCTTTCGATGCTCCCCTTGTTATTATCAGTGTTTTATCACTGATTTTCATACAAACATTAATTTGAATAGTAAATTTCGTTTCCAGTAAACCTTTATTGTTCGTCGTTTATTAATCAACGAATAAACGTTTATTAATAAAGGAGATAAAATCGTAGTTTATCTTTAATTTATGAACCTATCTTTATTTTCAGTGTTTAACGTTCTAAACAAAACAACTTTTCACACCATAACGAGAGTTAAATAAAACATATATTTTTATAAAAAGAAAAGTATCCGTATTTAAAAGCATACAAATATTTTTTTCCATATTTCTTAATGAATCAACAACTTAAATAACACGTATTTTAACTATTAAATTTTCAGTGCAAAGGACAAAAATATCCATTATTTGAAGAATACTCTAAACAAATCTTTTCGATTTTCTCACATTCTAAAAACAAATAATCCTAAACAAACAGTTGGTAATATATAAAAATTGGAACTCGCTGGCTGTATATGGTTTCCTCCGCAAATACAACATTAATCAAAATCTTCAAGATCATTTCGATGAGATATGACAAAAAATATATGGGAAACATCATTTGTAAGATGATAAATATATTTACTTACAGAACATTGCGTTTCACATTATTCAATTACTAGAGTGCTAAACTAATTTTTGATACAGTGTGTCTAGTTAAGTCGGCACTATATAGAAAACTTTTTTATTTTTAGTTTTATGCAAAAAAATTATTGTTTATAAAAAATTTGTATATACTAAAACCTAAAATTCAACAGTCAGATATCAATTTTTTCAGTCTTGTACGAAGCTTGTCAAAAAATATGAATTTTATGAAAGATTCACCAACATGGAAAATTGTTATTAAGAAAAATTGATCAGAATTGAAAACTACGGTCAGATATCCAATATTATTCATCCACGAAAATACGTTTTATTTATATTAATTTATATTTCCACTTCTAACTTAATTTATATATCACATTTACTTATTCACAAATTTATATGGACATTTACTTATAATTCGAAAAGTCACAAGTATCTGAAATAAGTGGCTGAATAATTTGAAAAATCGGAAATAAATTTCAAAAATTTCTTTACAAATTATTAAAACCATCCTCAAACCCCAAAGTTGAAAACAAACACTTGGATATTTGAAAAAGCCTGTCGTAGCTGGGGATCGAACCCAGACATGTTTGTATGCTAGACAAGTGTCCTTTCAGTAGATAGACAAAGCCACTACGGGCTTACATAGGGAATTTAATGTGTAAGAGTGAGAGGTACAGATTCAATGGATAAGAGTGAGACAGAATGAGGGGGAGTGGGGGAATTAAATTTATATTTACGCCGAATGGAAAAATCATGCGATTGCCAAAAGGGCCTAAGCGTGTTTCTCGGTTATTACTGGTACGATTCAAACGAGAAAACGTGATTATGTAAAGAGCGTGATATAGATGAACGTTGAAGAGAAAAATCATGCGCAGAACGAAAGCCAGAAGGACTTAAGCGTGTTTCTCGGCTACTATTGGTCCGATTCAAACCGAAAAAACGTGATTATGTAGAAAACGTAGTATAGATGAACGTTGAAGAGAAAAATCATGCGTAGAACGAAAGCCAGAAGGGCCTAAGCGTGTTTCTGGGTTTTACTGGTCCGATTCAAATGGGAAAAACGGAATTATGTAAAGATCGTGATATAGATGAACGTTGAAGAGAAATATCATACGCAGAATGAAAGCCAAAAGAACCGAAGCGTGTTTCTCGGATATTACTGGTCCGATTCAAACGGAATTATCACGACATTGACTGTCGAGATTCCTAGACAGAAATTGTATATGCTAGTTTAGACCCGAAGAAGGTCAGGATCGTTTTCAAATCTTAAAATAACTCTCTACAGCATCTGTATATATGAGAAATGCATTTATGCATACTAAGCCCACATCTTCGTCTGTGTGAGTTAAGTTTTCAATGTACGTTAAAAGCCGTAAAACTGAGTGTGAAATTGTGGCCGAGTCCAAACTAGCACATCAAATTGTTTACTAGGAATCTAGACAGTCAGTATCGTTATGGTCTAGAGCAAAGGGCACTTGTCTAGCATACGAGGAAGTCCGTGTTCGATCCCCGGCTACGACAGGTTTTTTATGAAATCTACTAGTATTTGTTTTCAACCTTGGAGTTCAGGGATTGTCTTAATAATTCGTAGGGGGACTTTTGAGATTTATTTCCGAATTTTCAAATTACTCATTTATTTTTATACTAATTTATATTAACTATATCAATCAGCTCACAGCGATATATCAACTAGAACTCACCCACTGCAACAGCAAAATATCCTATTTATATAAAAATTTGGCAAACCCAAATGTTCTCGCATTCGCCACAACTTTCTATAAAAACTCTAGACGTTCTTTCACTATACCACCATGGACTGTGGTACTTCTGGTAAAGTCTAGAAATTACTAGTAGACTGCAGTTTCTTTTGCTAATAGACTTTGCCACGGGCGTATCCTTAGGGGTTTCGAAGGTGATTAAGGTTTTGAATATTTTTTGTAATCGGACAAGAGAACCAAGTAAGGCAGACATTAAAGCGAAAATGGCTCGCATTACAAAACATTTCATTTTGCAAATCATATAACTAGGTTTTCATGGTAGATGGGATAATATTAAAACATGACAATAGTTTTCAATTTTCTTAACAGCTATTTTCGATATTTTTAAAAATAAAGGTACTTTATTTAGTCTTGCATAAAATTCATATTGTTTAATAAATCTCGTACTTGGCTGAAAAAATTTGATATATCATGACTGTATTTTTAGTTTTACCCTGTACATAAACTGAATAGTTTCAACAACTTTAATTAAATAGGAAAACTAAAGTCAGCTCCATTGGTGTGAAACTTATATAAACAGAAAATGCAATTATCGATGAAATCGACCTTTAATGGCACTAAGATAAATAGTATACTGGGTGTCCTGCAGACCTGGTATTGTTACTAAAAAAGTAAAACGTTACTTTATCGTTATTTTTGTCGCAAAGTAATGGCTTAGATGAAATTGTAACTATTTTTTTATGCAACAAAAATAACTCAATTATTCTACTACTTATAGAAAAGACATCTCATTACAAACCGTCAGATTGCTAATAAAATGTGCCATCTAATAACGAAATGGCACTTACTAAAATAGCTTTTGATTCGACTTATTCGAGGCAATACGTATTTTTAATTTTCGTTTTTAATTCTTCTTTTCACAATTACAATATTATTTTTCCACTTCATGGTCTTCAATCTCAAAAAATATATTTTTTAAACAAGTTCGATGAGAAAAAAGAAAATTTGGCACAACTGTAATATGTTCTTTCAACCGTAGATTTCAAATAGCAATAATTATAATAAAAAAATCAAACTTACTGACATTTCCGGTAAAATAGAAGTCGGATATTTTGTTTAATGAATAATTTGAAAATTCGGAAACAAATCTAGGCTATTATTATTTGCCGTGTCGCTTCGGGTTGACTTAAAGATGATTGATGGTGCCATTTGACTTACAGGTAAGGAAAACTCGGAACACCCCACCCACCAACATCGAAACGGTAACGTATGTCGATTTATAATCTGGATGTCATATCAACAGAAATTAAAACTCTGCAAATACGGCATCCATCAAATCCTATAACGAACCATGCAAATTAATTAAAAATTCACATGGTCTACTGTAGGATTCGAAGCTTCGTGTTTTTTAACCACAAAATTGCTTGTAAATGAATGCAAGACGAAGATGAGAGATATTATCGTAATAATGAATAATATCTATAATACAAAAATATGTGTCAAATGAACTCGTGTTCACAACATTAACTCAAACAGAATGTTTGTAATTGTTGGCATTTTTTGTTTATTAAATAATTTAACTAGTAGATCTATTTTTCTTTTACTCCTCTATCTCTCTGTCTCTGAGATTAAATGTTGATTGATGCTATTTAATTGTAAGAAGCACATCCGGGTTTAGCGTGTGATAGTGGAATCTTAAATTAGCAGCAATTCAGTGCACTCTGGACATGAATGCTCCATTCCGTTCTTGTTATAGCTTTTTTGCAGGTAGTTATTTTGAATTATTTCTTAGGGATGCCAAAAAAACAATAGCCATCATCTTTCGAGAAAACAAAACCGTTTTGTATTGTGCCTATTATACAATACTTTAATTATTTAATTGTTACTTTAATTATAACGATAATAGCTATTTATAACTCGCACGAAATAAGGTTTAATTTATGAATAAGTTGCATACAATGCATTATGTTCGATTTTCCGAATATTATTTTATAAAAATTAAAAACGTACATCTATTTTTTGTACAGCTAAACAGAAAATGTCGTTCATTCCCAAGAGTTTGTTTACTATTATTCTGGATGCTAGTTTGGTTCAAGAATATCAGTTTATTAAAGTGAAAAAGTCATCTAAGTATTTACAATTTAAAAAAAAAGAATATTTACAGTTAAACCCAAAACGGCAATTGATTTTTTTCCCAAATCTCCCCTAGTTAAATCAATAGATATTATTTGAAATACGTAAAGAGAAGGAAATAAACTAGTGTATAATAAATCCCAGTTGCATCACGTTGATGCCTATATATACGTGTACATACCTTATAGTAAGAAAACTTGATGGAAACTTCAAAGTCTAAGCCTTCTTTGAATATGAGTTTGCCAACGATACCGTTTTCTTCAAACCCATCGATAGGAGTGTAAATCTTGTAGCTGTATTCAAAGTCTGTAACATTAGCATAATGCCAGACTCCGGAGAATCCCAGCAATAGAAAGTTCCATCCAATACGGAAATCTGCCTGAAAAGAGTGTTACATTCATTTACTATTACCAAATTCCAGTCCCGTTTTATATAATTATGGTCTGTTAAATTAAAAATGAGAAAATACTCAGTTGGAGGCTCGAGTTGACTTGTTATAATTTTGATATACGAGTATGGTAATGAATAATGTTCAGCCTAAGAGATAAAAACAAAATTACGGAGTTAAAAATTCTTTTATTTTTAGAAATTCAAGGCTTAAATAGGCTTATATAGGTCGATTCGTCTAGCTCTTAAAAACATGCGCCCAAGCAGCAAGGTGCCGTTATTATGACGTGATTTTTTGGGTTTACTCGTCAGAAACGTCACTATGCCAACGTTAATTAGACGTCAATACAGCCTCGTCACTATGACGTATTTTTTTAGTATTAATTTATCCGAAATACAATATCCTAATCAGTAACGTGTATTTGACGTTGCATTAATGACATAGAATAGACGTCACTTAGAATTCGTCATAATTACGTGACAGTCGTGACCTTGTGAACGTGGTGCATTTTTAAATTGTACTTTATTTGATAAGATGTTTTAGAAAAAGATAAAAATAGAATGTGACAAAATAATAAAGTATAATAAACCGAATTTGGTATTTTACAGATGTATTGCATTGTTGAGTATGAAAAACCGGATGATGCGTAAAAAAAAGGTCTTTTGGCCGCCTTTATAAAGAAATATACTATAATATAAGACTGGTGAGCAATGTTATTTTTTGATAATCAGTTCTTTCAGGGTATTTTTTTAATAGTTTATTTAAAAATAAAAGATTTGTTGACCCCTTGATTTAGATACCTTTAATCATCTCACAGAATATATGATCTCTTTTTTTATTAACTTTTATTATAAACTCAGACTATATGTATACCTCTGAGAAGGTAGTTTTTATAACTAGATACACAATTTACTTTTTATCTTTAAGAATTTTCAGTGGTCTGTATTGTAATAGTTTTTTTATTTAAATGGTAATAATAAGTGATGTACCAAATTAAAAAAAGTCGAAGTTACCTCAGATCTATATTCCAAGGCTGATAAAGTACCTAATAAAAGAAAACAGGTGCCAACTAGAAAGCTATAATTCGATGATACTGAAGATAATGAAATCGTAAAGTATGCTCGCCCACTCTCAATTAAAATTAAATCTACAATTTTAGGTATGTTGTGTCAGTTCCTCTAATATTCTTTTTATTCCTTTTGGTTTCTTGCTCATGACTTTTTTATTTACCAGTGTAATTTATTTTTTATAATATATTTTTCATGTTTTTTGAATTAAAAAATAACTTTCATCTGCTTAGTATTTTTAATAATTCCATCCAACCTTGGGACACCCAATATAGACGTCACTTTGACGTTAGGTAGATTCGTGATAATGACGTCAATTTGTTTAGCATAGGACACCCGATATACACGTTACTTTAACGTGATATCGATTCGTCAAAATGAGGATATGGAATGACGTCATTTCGCTGTGATATTCTCACGTTACCATGTTATTTTCACGTTATCAAATTACGTAACGCACACCAAAAAATCACGTCATAATGACGGCATGATGTTGCATGGGGCGTTTGTGTTGGCAATATTTTAAGAGTAATATTTTAAGTATGGAAATAAATTGAAGTCCGATGGAGCCCAGTCTGGAGAGTCTAGGAGTAGTAATTAAAAGCCCAGTTCATTAATTTTAGATATCGCAATAATGGACTTGTAACACAGCGTACTGTCCTGATGGAACAACACTTTTTTTCAATAAAGTAAATAATTTGCCTAAGAATAGGTGTCTTTTATAGTTCAAGTCGATTAATTATATCTGATAAAAGACAACTAAATGTAAGAAAAGTGGTCCTAAGACTAGTAGGGAATCATTGGTTAGTAGAAGTAAACATCCAAATCCACATATCGGGCAAAAATATCAGCCAATGTTCGCTAGGGCGGACTAGTTTAAAATGTAAAATACGTTATAAATATTATTTGTAAAGTGAAACAAATGTCTTGATTTATTGATTGATTGATTGACGTATATCTAAAAACTCGAATTGGAAAAGTTTCACCATGGACAAATACAGAACATATTTCACAATAAATTAAATTTTTCACCTGAGACCAATCTGTATGCAACATCTTTTAATATCATATGGATATTACAATTACACCGAAACATTAATAAAAATAGGTTATTTTGATCGTATGGGTGAAAGGCCACGCAGGGATTTCCGGTAACAACACTGTTGATCTCTTAGCAAAGGAAGCTACACCTCTCTCAATTACTTCTAATCATTTCATAGATTATATGGATTCGATAAATGTTGGAAAAAATCAGGCATATAAAATGTGGAAATCAGACTGGGAAAAATTCGTAGATAGGTCCAATAATCATTATACTTGTATCCATCCTACCTTACCTAAAAAAATCTCGCATATTAGCGAATTTAATGTAAATAGAGCTTATTCAGTAACTATCACATGCCTTAAGTTAAATCACGGTAAACTTCCATTGGTTAATTTTTTACGTTCAATTAAATTAGACCTATAACTCCAAATTTTATTATTTTATTCCCTTTTTCTTTCTGCTTACTACGTATCTGTGACAAATGGAATCCATCCAATGCCAACAATCACACCAAAAAAGGTTATTTCGAGTTAAAACACAGATCTACAAACAAATACTCACCCCTTCTGGTTGCAACTTGGCGATAACAATCAGATCTTGCAAAAATTCAGTCGGTGTCGCAACATGTAACCTTATATCAAAATCAACAATACTATTGACCGTAACCAAAACTTCAGTACCTAATCCTCCTGTAGGGTAGGTAATCATAGCAGCCACATGCCTCTTTATGGCAGAAATAATAAATTTTAATTGGTATTTATCATCAGGTGTCGTAGCGTTGATAATCAGCTTACAATTGGAAAGTCTTAAAAATTTCCCTTCCATATCCAAATCGATTTTTTTTTTATCCAGGTCGAGTTGTGCTGCTCCTCTTATATAATTTTTATTTTTTATCATTACTTTGCTCACTAGAAAGCCTCTGTTGAATCCCTTAAATGGCGTCCTTGAATTTATGGTACCTGTCAAGTTAGTGTATAGATTGTCTTGATCTACATTCCATTTGCTGTCCAGAGCGATGACGCAATCAGGTTTATACTGAAAATAAAAAAAAATACCTTCATCATTGAAAAGATTATTCTAAATACTGACAAAACACCCCAAAAGGAGTAGATTATTATAATTACTTACCATCATATGTATATCAGTATTAAACACAGTTCCATTCTGCAAATGGCTAAAAGTTATATTAATATTCGGCACCCTATCTATAGAACTTCCAATGGAACAGCTATATGTACACGTAAAGAAGTTAGTAGCAGATGTGTAGTCACCATAAATGCTAACCTCAACTCTCTGCCTTCTTTCCCAGGATAGTACACCACGCAAATCATATTTATTCTTTTCATGATGGAACCTTTAAATAAATTGTATTTTTAATTTATTTATAAAAAGGTAAAAAATTAAAAATTCTGATTGTATTTCATTTACTTACCGCCCTTTTAGTTGTGTAACTTTCCAATTATCGAATGGAGTTTTCAACTCCGAGGCAATGTCCAGGAAAATTTGTTTGTCATAATCGTGCACAATATCTAAATCGATGGCAAATGTTTTCTCAACGTCCCACGAGACACTTAACAATGTTTTTAAACGTTTCCCTGAAACAGAACAATTATCCATTTAAAATAGAAAATACTACTAACAAAAATAATTTACGTATATTGATTTTTTTAATTTTATGAAAGATCGTAGATTTAATATTAATTGCAGTTATTTTAAGTTTAGACTACGTTAATTCGATATTAAAGGCTTTCAGTATCTGGTTTAAGTTTTTTTAAATATTATTTTGAACAAGTTTATTATGCGATCATTTATCGCTTTCTATCTCTCGGATCATAGTATCCATCCTAAGAACTATCCTTTTTCTATAATAGGTGATTAAAAAAGAGTGTTAAAGAAAGGATGGTTTTAGAAACTATACCAGTATCGCACATACCAACCAGATGTACTGTCGTGCTAAAAGTCACACAATACTGTTATTGTCCTGACGTACAGACCTTAATCGAAACAACTAAACCAATACTTCGTTTGTAATAATAAAATATTAAAAAACCGAGATAATTGTAATTAGATTAAATGGAAGCCGCCCCGTAGAATGAGAAGTTGAACAAAGCACCGAACAAAGGCATTAAGACATTTGTTAGTGCTTTCAGCGGATACAAGATAGTTGTTAGATAGAATTAACTGTCTTGCAGGTGAATTGGATTTAGGAAGATTCACTTACCGTCTATTAAAAATTTATAGTCTCCTTTTATGCCGCGTCCGGGGTAAGTGATGATAAAATTAGCAATATAATCGAACGCTGCATTCTTTTTGTATTTGGCTGTCATCATCAACTTTTGATTGGCTTGTCGATTTGCGTCCCAATTAATTTCGAATTCTAGTGCTTTATCGTCGTCCATGTTGAAGAGGTAAATGGAGAAAACAATGTCTCTTAGCCTAAAATTAATAAAAAGTTAATTTATTTATAACTTATTGCCTAGCGGATTCTTACTGATCAAGATGAATTTCTGCATTGATCTTCTTATAGTCACCGTCATATACTGACCCTACATATGTATAGAGTTGAGTTGCATATTTAATTTTAGCTTCAGTTCTTGTGGAGTTTACTGATTCGGTTTTAGAGAAATACGAAAGAGCATAGTCGTAAGTATCCTTTTTGTCTAAACCACCCTGAAAATGATTATTTATTGAGTTTGTTACACTTAACTACTAAAAATTTGAAGACAGAATAATTCAATAATTAGTAACTTTGAAAATTAAATAAAAATATATGGTTAACAAAATCAGAAAACCAATTTTTTTGGATAGAGACAATAATAATGTTTCTATATTTTTTTACTCATTCTTTATTTATTCTAAATTGCTTGAAGCGCTGTACTAAAAATGAACAAATTATAGAATTTAATAAAAGTGATAAAAGGGACGGAAACTTAAATTAGGCAACAAATCAAAGGAATCGAAAAAGGAGGATCTTAAAGTAAATGGCGTTTGGAAGCGGCAAACGCTTCTTACAGGCATCGGACCGCTGTCACAGGCCAGACAGCCAAATAATGAGAAAATGTCGGTTGTAATTAATACTCAACATCAGAGGTAGGTCACTAGAAATGTTCCCTGGAAGGAAATCTTACTGAAAATAAAAGAGTGTAAAAAAGATTTAAAAGTTTATTAGATTTACACCATTATCCGGTGCTTTTTAAATCGAACAACTTCAATTATTAGTAATTAGCCAGTTTTTCCTCATACACGCAGACACCAGTAGTATAAATATTTGTATCTATCAATGAAAACTGTCAAGACTACTTTATTTGCCACCGATATAAACACGCACGCAAATGGTAAAAAGAAAAACAAACAAAAATACCTGGGCTGTTCGAAAGGTTCAAGAAAAATTGTAAAATAAAACAGAATGGTTAAGAAAAAAATGAAAAATACATTTGGTAGCCCCGATTATTCTACTTATTTATTTATCTATTATTTTTCCATAAAAATCAAAAAGGTTTAATTACTAGTCTGACTAATCTGAAGAACAAGCAAATCAATAATAAATAACAAGTACAGAAGTGGTCCTAGGTTAGAACCTTGTGGAACAATAAGATTAGCGGAAGCATTAGTTCTATTATAGTAACTTTAACAAAAATCTATAACAAACAATGTTACATACACAGGGTGTTTTAGAATAAACTAGCGTAAGCTGGGTGACATGTAGATTTTAACTAATTGTTAAGAAAAGCTAAATTTAATTTTCTTATGAAGTGAATTATATAAATACATCATTTTCAAAATAGCTTCCCTTACTGTAAAGACCTTAACCTAAAAATATGTATATGCTATTGCTCTGACGACAATGTCAAGCCTCCGCATGGTTGGAATAGAACCTGATGTAGGATCTGGTAAGACGAGACGTAGCTTTTGGCAGGAGGCGCTCGATACGCTCCCACTGCTTCAAGCGAACATGGACTCCATCTCACCGAGATATATCTTTCATAAGGCATATAAAGCTATAAAAGAACAAATAGAAGAACCGGAAGTGGCAGGTATGATTCTTATCTACAACGACGGTCCTAAAACAAGGCTTATAATGTGGAATATACTCCAGATACTTAAAGCCAGTGCAATTTAAACAGAGCTAACGGGGATTCTCATTGCAGCAAAAGAAATAACCAGAAACAATATCACTGGACGGAAAATGCTTATCTATACAGATAGCACACTAGCATTACACACCATGAACAGACCACAAATTTACTCAGGGTTAGTACTAGAATGTCATGAAGCTTTGGTCGAAGTATCCATCAACAATGTGGTTACCTTGATGGATCAAAGGTTTTGCCGTCTTGCTGATTCACTAACCAAGAAAGCAGCCAGCCTAATACTGTTTGGACCTGGCCCTTATATTGGCCTGACAAAATCGGTAGTGACAGACCTAATTAAAGAAAATTCCCTTGTGAAATTCAAGAAAAGACAGGATGAAACAAGAAACTGCAGAGCTACCAGAGAGCATTTAAGTTATCCCAACAACACTACAGCAAATAAATACTTGACTATGACTAGACAGAATCTGCGCTTGGTCACAGACATTCTGACTGGTCATTGCCAAGTACGAAAGCATCTCCATATCATAGGGTTGTCAGAATCCGCACTTTGCAGGGGGTACGAACAAGAAGATGAGACCATCGAGCATATCCTCTACGATTGCCCGACGCTCTCATTTATTAGAAGATTTGTGATCGGTGAGTATCGGCTAACACCGTCCGATATAAGAGAAGCACCTCTTGGCGATGGTGTCAACTACATTAGGAGGTGCCTATCTACTTAGGAGGATGCACAATAGGCCTAATGAGGCCTAAGTGCCATAGGCTAACCCACCCTTCATACGTTACAGATAGAGATGTACATGTTAGTATTAGTTAACACACTCTATTTCTATAAATTACGATAACCCATTGGCACAAAATGAAGGGCTTAGAAAACAATTTTTTTGGACATCCTATGTTTCATAAAAGTTAAGATTAATAATTAGTTCTCATGCAATTTGTCACAAAAAAGGGTCGATCGCTATAGAACATTCCATTTCCGAGATTGTTTAGTTTTATTTCTACTCAAACGTGAAATCTATGTACATTATGAAATTATTTATTTAATAAAAGAAATGCAAGTCATAAATTACTATAAAATTATTTAGGTAATTGTTAGTTAGTCACCATTATTAATTAACTGCGATAATGTATTGTCGTAATAAACTAATTTTGATCCAAACTAAATTAGTAGGTTTAGTAGGTGAAGTTGTCAACGATTATTATCGTCTGTTTCATCACTTATGTTTTTTTACATATTTTGATTGATAATGGATACAATACCAAAATGGTTAAATATGAGATGTTCAGAAATACCCAGGACGCATTGTTCTTAATAGAAGAACCTTCGTCAAAATACACAGGCGGACAAAAGAATCTGGAACTGTTTTATATGCCGCTCAATTTCGTGGAAGCAAAACGCAAATTACGAACTGAAAAAATTACGAAAATCTGGTATAGTAAAATCCCAGAATCAGTGCTAGAAGACTTTCGCTACAAACATGAATTTCTCATGCAACAAGTTGAAAAATTCTAAAAGAACAACAGCTGTATCCCTTCTACCTACAACGAGTTCATGACCTTTTAGAAACAGACTCTGGACCCATAATGGAGTTTTACCAATGAGATAACGACTTTATCAGTAATGATCCTTTTACCGATGAAGCAACATCCTGTATATTACTTCATAAGAATTTCGTTAGAGAATCAAAATTAATACGCGATTATTTCATGTCCCAAAAGTTATTAGAAATAAATATTTATGGGAAAGCCATTCCCTTAATTTCCTCGTTAGTTACGCCGTTGGGTAACACGTGACGGTTGATTGCCCTGTTCTTTCGAGAAGTTAGCTTTACTTACCTTGAGTTCGAACTTCAATACATCATTGTCACGATAAAATTGCAGGTCAATAGTGATATCTTTAAAATGGGGAGACATCAGAAGAAGCTTTACATGGTGATCGGACGATAGAGGCCGGCTCTTGTCTTGATAGAAAGCAGCGGCGTTCATCCTGTGTCCGCTGAACCATGTACCCTTGAAATTTATCTGAAAATCAATTTAATTCAGTTAGGTATTTTATATATAATTTTATTTTCGAATATTATTGGATATCTGGATATAATTTACCTTATAATCATGGGGATGTTGTTCCATAATATCCAAAGCCAAAATCATGGGAGTAAACGATGGTATTGTGACATTTATATGTGTATTTATCTCAGTCAAAGTTTTTCTTGGATGTGAATAATAAATAGTAGCAGATACTTCTTTATTTTCCCCATATTTAACAACAAGCATAGAATTCATTTCTGATCTATGAGTTTCGTATGTGAACGTTCCCTTCAAACCCAAATTGCTCGATTTTCTCGCAACCAAAGTTTCAATCGAAAATCTTCGTACGCCATTGCTTAAAGTCATTTGTGAGGCCACGGTTTCGAATTTAAAGGTATAGTAATCAGCTTCAGGGTGTTCGTGAGGCGAGGGGTTTTGGTGTAGCTTAAAGACGAGGTCCATATGGTTGTCGTTTCTCTAAACATAAGGAAATAAAATCATATTACTGCAGTTTAAGTAAACTAAAATATCCATCTGATCATGATCATACTAATCATAAGAACTGCTATATACTGCTGGCAAAATGATGAAATTAATAATAAATAGCGTTCGTTTATGCAGAAAAAAAAATAAATGTGAAAGGGAGCAGATGTCTAATAACCTTCGAAAATTTGTTATCGTCTCTTTTACCACGGAAGAGGTGAAATTCCTAAGACTTAATCTTGATAAAATAGTCACCTGGACAAAACCATCAACAATGCCAGACTATCCCTCTCGACCTCATCGGATAACCTGCATGAAGTGATCTGGAATGTCCACCAAACCGACGGGAGCTATGGATACTATACTGGATCTGACCTCTCTTGGTCTCATTCAGACTTCCAAGTGTGGATAGTCAATGCAAGGAATTATTAAATGAAATTAAAAACCACCACATTCTCGTCATAGTCTTACTAGTTCCCGACATCACATAGATAAGTCATTCAGCGTTCTAATTCCAGACATAGAGGAATAGAGCAAGGAGGACAGTATCTTTGCCCAGATGGCATATTAAGGTATGTTACTTGCTTATATTGATTGTAATTTTGTTAGAAACCATTTTTTCCTTCCAATGTAGGCCTGATGATGGCTTTTGAACCGAAACCGGTTGCCTGCGTTAACACTGCCTGGTTAACATTTAGTTTTTAATAAAGAATACATTTGTCTGGTACTGTTTTTAAGAATTTTATTGTCATTAATTTTCGTTATTTTAAATTTCATCAAACTAAATCATTGCTTTCAACAAAATGTAGTTTAAAGATTGATTATAATTTAAGTATGAGCCATTGATCCACCTAACCTAACTGACAATATCGATACGACACCCATTCTTCTTCAGCATATATGAACGCCGTTTATTATTCACTTAACACAAACAAAAGTATGAAAGCAATAGTATGCAAAACAGTGATGAAATCAATCTACAAATTTAAAAAATAATAAAAAAAATTAGAAGAGATTTGAAGGTATGAAAAATGTCAAAATGAGAGAATAACTCACAGTGCATTGAACAAGGAAGATGCACATAACAGACAGACACCTCTGTCTCTCGTCGAGCATTAATCTGTGTCTGTGCGTATATTGAGGCGAGAACTCATCTGGGAGCGCTCCCATGGGAGTGTTCCCATATATTTTGCTCTCTTACTCTTAGGTGGGTATATCGTGCTTACTCACTTTTAGCCCAGGTACATGCATGTAAGCACGATATACCCACCTAAGAGTAAGAGAGCAAAATATATGGGAGCACTCCCATGGGAGCGCTCCCATGACTTAGTGAATAGCTACCCTGCTAGTCGACAGCGGTCTCTGTCTGTTATGTATATGTTCTTATAACTTGTTCAGTTCATTGCAAGACATATCCTCGCGTTGAAATATCCGTACATGTATTTATAGCAAAATAAACCATAAATATTATTTGTAACTATTCCAATATTCTTAGATTAAAAAGGCTCAGGCTACTCAGAAAATTTTAAATATTAATTTTTAGCCGTATATTCAACAATATTAGATAATAATATATATTCCGCTTACATGAAATGTAATATTCGAATCCAGATTCATATTGGGATAAGCAGTCGACAGAACATTCAAGAAAGATCCGTACACTTTCATGTTTTTCTTATGAGATTTGTCTCCAGCTCCGAATTTAAAAGAGACTCTGTGTCTTTTCGTGTTCACAAACTGATAATCGTTAGTTAAACTCCCTTGAATCGAACTCTCGCCCTTCATTATGTATCCGTATAACACTGACATGAATCGTTTCGTCTCAAATTTTAGACGTTTCACTGAATATTGAGAAATACCTTTCTTGCTTAATGTCTCCACGGAACCTGAAACAACATTTGACGTTAGGTCGAAAATTATCAATACGTCAGATTATTTGCAATTTTTATTTGATTCTGCTATATAATTAGTAATCAAACGGCAATGGAAAATTGAGAATTATATCGTACCTCCTTATAATATAATAATACTACTCTCCCTAATTCACCCCCTTACGAGTGAATTTTAACCCCAAAAGCTGAGCTTGTGTGGGGAAAGGGACAGCTATTATTATTATTTGCCGTGGCGCTCCGGGGCGACTTAAAGATGATTGATGGTGCCGTTTGACTTATAGGTGAGGAAAACCCGGAAAACCTCACCCACCATCATCGAGACGGTAATGTATGGCGATTTTTTTATAATCTGCATGTCATATCAACAGAAATTGAATTTCTATTAATACGGCACACATCAAATCATATACCGAACCATGCAATTTAATTAAAAATCCACATGGTCTGGTCTGGGATTCGAATCCCAGCAGTCTCTGACACATAAACTTGCTTATAAATGAATATAAGCGCGTTAGACCGCTACACCACCGACCCGATAATCCTACAGTAAACGTTTCAACATTTTTCCCTAAAACTATTCCATATCAGAACAGTTTGAAGCACTATATCATAATATATGCGGTTACGTACCCTCACTTACAATTTTCGATTAGACGATACCCACACCCATTCAGGACTCTATGGGGGACATCTATTAACTTCCTCAGGTTAGTTGGGATCCTGCATGAGCTAATATTTCACACAAGAAACTTAGAGGAGTGAGTTTAGCCTAATTTACATAGAGAATACATTTACATTTTCGCGGTATCAAATTGTAACAGATCAAATTATTATAAGTGATCAAATTTGGATGTACAGGGAGCTGACAATATTTCGCTGCAATTTTATTGGATTTTTTTTAATATCATAAATATTTTGGTAGTAATAGCAAGATTTTGTAACTTCGTGGACTATTCAAGCCAAGAATATAGCAGGAGAACTGTAGAGTAAATAAATAAATACCACTTTTATTAGAGAAAGCATAGAAGTAGCAGCAGAAGAAAACATTGGGGTTGCACAGAAAAAAGTAAGAAAAGATTGGTACAATGAAAAGTGTAGTGAAGCAACAACAAAAGTGGCAAGGAATAAATAAAATAGAAGATAAAATGACCTATAAGGAACTGAGAAAACAAACCAAAAAAACTGATAAGAACAAGTAAAAGAAGGTGGATAGACAATAAAATAAAAATAATCGAACAAGAAGAAAGTAAGAAAAACACAAAAGACTTTTACAAGAAAATTAAAGAACAGATATATTATCCATTGAAAATGAGATCGTTTTGATGACTTCATCCAACAATTTTCAGAACTCAAGGCTCATAAAAAAATTTGTTTCTTCTTTTTATTATTCTGGTAAGTTTGTGTATTTATTTTTTCTCATTGATGTACAACATTTTATTGAGTAATTTCACAATAAGATATATTAAGTTCCATACCTCTTGTTATTATTGTACCTGTTAGACATTTGTGTCTTTATATATTAGTAACTATGTACAACACTATATGTTTGTACATAATAGTATATGTAATATATGTGGCAAATATATAGGCCTTCGGCTAGAGCCGCCCCAGGCCCCCAACTATATCACTACGCCACTGTTTGTAACTGCTTTAAATTCGCAAAATTTATCATGTACGCTGACGATCTAAAAATGTATCACTCTATAACTTGCTTACTTGATAAGATCTAGATAGATTTTGCGATTATTGTAGGAAACATAATTTGTTTTTGAATGCATCTAAGTGTAGTTATATACAGTTTACTCGAAGTAACACTTATTTACATAACAGTTACATCATTAATGAATCTACACTTCAAATACTGGATAAAGGACTTGGGTATATTTCTCGACTCCAAATTATTGTTTGATGAGCATATATATTATGTCACTAGTAAAGCAAATAAAGCCTAATGGCTTTATTTGAAGAACAAGTTACGAATTTAAAAATCATCATACAATCAGAGCCTTATATATGGCTTATGTTAATAGTGTACTCATGTTTGGATCAATAATTTGGAATCCTTGTTACTTAGTAGTTACAATTTGTTCAGAATAAGTATATTTCTTATTGCCATATAAAATATCCTCAAATAAAAGAAAACAAAATTTTATCGAATTTAAATTTAATCAATCTAGAATCTCCTTCATTTAATTGTCCCAATTATAATACTAGAAATATTAATACATTTTTTCTTAACAAGACAGCAACCAACTACTATATAAATGCTTTCCTCCGTAGAATATCAAAAACTTGTAATCAGTTGTCAAATATATTTTCTTTCATAGTTTTATGTTCGTAAAGAAAGCACTGTTAAAATATTTTCTATATCAGAATATGTAATCTCTCTTGATAATAGTTTTTAGTCTTTATTTTTGAGTATGTATTATTGTAAATGATTATTGTATAACTTTGTACTATATTATTGTATAATCTGATGGACATTTTTTTGGGCTAGTCCTGTGTGTCCCGAATAAAAAAATACTACTGTACGTAGCAGAAACAATGAATATGCCAAAAAAAGAATATATAATTAGAACAAATAAGGAAATTAAACAAGAGCTAGAAGATAATAACAAAAACAATCCAGAGTAAGATGGTTAGGACACGTATTAGAACAATGTTACAATGAGGCCCCGAAGGGAGAAGGAGACGTGGAAGACCCAGGATCAGGATGGCTAAAGGAAGTGAAAGAATATTTACGCAAGGCAGGAGTGAATAATTGGCAAGAAAAAGTACAAGATAGGGAAAAATGGAGGGATATTATGAAAAGAATGGTATTGATCCACCAAAAATATGAATCTAGATAGCGAACAGCGGCTTAGCCCCACTAAGGGAGTTTTTTGTTCACTTTATATATATTTATTACCCTGACTATAATGAAGCATTTAAATACCTTATATTGTCCCTGACGAAGTTATAATAACAAAGTTCTGATCTATGCTATAAATGTTAGGCGTAGTCTTCATTGCGAAGAATATAAAGAAAATCGTTATGAACAGATCATATTCGGAAGGTAGACATACATTAAAATGGAGCAAGATGCTACACTAAGAATCTGTACAACTGTATGTTTAGCTAAGTTTTCCAATTAAATATGAATCTAGCCTTGTCAAATTCCTAATTAATTATCAGAATCCGGACTAGACGAGTATATCAATTATGTAGAATATTCACTCCAACTAAGGGAGTCCATACGTTGTTACGTTATAAACTTGAACTGTAAGGATGAACCCTATAAATCGCTTCACATAATACATGAAGTAACTGTAGAGAAACCGTATATGTATAGAGTGTTCGCTTGGTGGAGAATATTATTCAAGTATATTTATAATAATATTTCTTACCTGAAAACGTTACTACCTTATCTCCATTTACAGCTAAATAAAAATTAGGAACGTATCTATATCCATGTATAATAGGAGTTCTTTTGAGGGAAATACTAGTATCGAAATGCTTTCTGTTGTTAATGTTAAGTTCTATTTGAATAAACTTGTCATTTGGAGTATCTTTGTATCTACCATATGCAAGTACTTTCCCTGCTGCAGATTCTATTAACATCGTTAAATTATGTGTAGCTCTGTCTAGTGTCATATTGGCAGATATAAGACGTTTGACAGCAGAGCCTGGTGTGTCAAAAACGACGGATATGACACTAGAATGTGGTTTCTGATCCCATTTGTATTCAAATAAATAAATTGTTGCGGTAGGATCTGCTTTTTCGATGTAGTGTCTAAAATGAGCTGGCCCAGCTATTAGAAAATCAGGCAGATTGCTAAATTTCGACATATTAACAAAGCTGTATTCAGTACATAATTTCAATCCAATAGTTTGATCTATGAAAGGCCAAGAACATATTGAATTTGAAATTCTATTCGTGTTCAAGCCTTTTTGGATTTCTTCTACTCCATGTTTTTTAACCATTAATTCAGATCTAAAAAAGACGAGCGTTGTATATTAAAATATTAAGTTAATCATTTGAAACTTTACTTTGCTACTAAAATTTCGTTCTTTATTCTAGGCAAACTAAATTTAATGCTAAGGAGTTTCGTTCCTTTAATCTTGATTTCACTTTTAATAGCGCTGTCACTATAAAAATTCGTCTTAAGCTTAATACCAGTGCTGGCATAGAAAGCGTCAACTGACATTTCCCCAGTCAGATCGACAGAAACAGTAGGTTGTATATCAGCGGTTAAGTCAGCTTCAATTTGGTTACTGCCATCAGCTATCCCAACTGAACCTACAAAAAAATATGAAGAAAATGTTTAAAAAATAGTGAGAGAATCTTTGACTAAAAATACTTACCTAAAGATCCAAATAACTTTATGTTTATTGCAGTTGTTCCGGTAGCTGTAAGCGAAAGAGGTAAGCCAGCAGCGCAGGGAACGACGTATTTCCCATCCAAAAACATGGCTGCTTTGTTGTAATTGATTTCCTGTAGAGAAAGTTATGAAATTAATTGTCTTGGAAGACTACGTACAACTATTAAAATGCGCCTTATACATCGTACAATCTAAATCTATATAAGTATAAATATTGGTATATTGGAGCATTTATATAATAATAATAATAATCTTTATTCATGTGCAAATTGGTTACAGTGAGAGAATGAATAGATGTATATAAAAATAGGTATTATTATTATATGGTAGAATGTCAGTGTTTGTTTAGAAGTACCGTCAAATGGGACGAATCGGGACTAAGAGGTGAATCGGGACATTCGGCTATTTATTAACAAAAGTGGTAATCCTATCTCGAAGTCAATATTTTCAGCTAGTAGGTAAAAATGAAAGTAGGCATATATACCTGCAATCTGTCAGTTAGTGACGAATAGGGAGAAAAACAAGTGCCTTGAAAATCAAGAAAAAAATCAGTTTTTTTATTGCTTTAAAAACTTTATGTGGAAACCCCTAAGGAATGAAGTTATGGGTCTGAAATTTTTATGAGTCATAGTTTAAAGTGTTTTATAAACACTAACAAAATCAATTTGAAAAAAAACTGCATTTTTAAGGGTAAATCGGGACAATGGTCCAAAAATACAAAAAAGTACCTGCAAGAGTCTACCAAAAGTATAGTGAACAAACGTTACAAACAGCCCTGAGACAAATTCGACGGGGTCAGATAAGTCTACGAGATGGCTCGCGAGTTTTTGGTATTCCAAAATCAACACTATCAAGGCATAAAAGAGGTCCAGTAAAAAAGCAAGGAGGGCAGACCATCCTAACATAAGAAGAAGAACGACTTTGGTTCAGTTGATAGAAGGGGAATGGGGTTATTCTTTGGATAAACTGGATCTTCGTTATGCTGTCATGGGCCACTTGGACAGAAAAGGCGTAAGAGTAAACAAATTTTAAAATAATATGCCAGGATTGGACTGAGCAAATGCTTTTTTATCGCCACATAAGAATCACCTTACACAGAGGCTGTGTGAAAATATAAAGAGGGCTCGTGCAGGTGTCTAGCACCAAACAGTTAATTAATATTTTGACAATTTGCAAACTCTATTAGAAAATATAGAAGCCAACTCCATTGTCAACTATGACGAGACTTGCTCTAAGCTCTAACTGGGACCCAACTTTTGCCATTTACTTGAAGCCTCTATCTCATTTAGAAAAATCGGTATATGCCATTTTAGGAGTTTTGATAACATCCACTTTATTATACTCTTCACGGGCTAGTCTGTGAAAAGTAGTATAGGTTTCTTCAGTCTAGTTAGTAACTGGATTTTCTTTGATCAATGCCCCTTGACAAGAAGCTTGGTGGTTGAAGTGATTTTTCTCTGATATTAATGATAATCTAACTTATGACATATTTTTACGAAATGCCAATTAGTGGTTCTGGCTTCTTTTCTATTTCCGCTGAGATCATAATTTCATATGATTTTCAATTAGATACATATCAGATGTACCTCGTAAAAATTATTATTTACAGGAAGCAAATTAATGTTCATTTATTTCTATTTGCTATTGTTCACACATATTTAGTAATGATAGGTTTAATATCGTTACATAATTCACATATAATCCGCATTAAAAGTAAATTTGTTTTGATAAGTAGTAAGAACATTATCCGATTTAGGCCGATTAGTGATAAATAATAAATTAATTCATGTTTATATTTAACGTAATGGAAAATCAATAAAAACAACACTATAATAAAAAAAAAATGTGGTGCACATTGGTTCAAAATGTTTTCTAGGTAGGTACCTATTTTGATTTGCTATTTCTGATCGCCATTTTATATTAGGTATTTTAAATTTTGTATTTGTGACATCAACCCACGAAAAACCGTTCTTGCAAGTTTGAGAAAACAAATTACATCCTCCATTTTGTATTAGCCATTTCGAATTCTGAATATTTGACATCTACCCATACAGCACACAATATTTCAGAAGTGTTTCAGAAATATTTTAAACGTTTCAAACATAAACATTTCAAGCACAAGTTTCTGAAGTATTTCTGAAATATTTTAGCTAAATATTTCATTAAAAATGTTTCTGAAACATAGTATACATGTTACATAAAATGTTAATAAATGGGTTATGTTGTAAAAGGTCAACACTTAATGAAAAATTTCTAATTTGTAAGAAGATGGGATATATAGTTATTTTATTTCATTCTATGTCCAGCCAGAAACAACCCCTTTATTCTAAATAATTATAAATTTGAGATGTCGGTTTTTGTTATTTATGCATTGTGCTATTGTTATATGGGACGCAGAATATGTCTTTAAAAATTGGGGTGAGTACACACTACAGAAATAATGCTTGTTTAGGCGGAGCTACATGTTTTGTTTAGGCATGAGTATTGTTTATTTTATTATAGTTAATTTAAAAATATATTAATAAAATTATTGTTAATCAAATAATTTGTATAAATCCTTTTTAATTGCCAATAATTTGTTTCAGATTAGTGCATTTAAAGGAATTGGTGAAAATGAAGCAGTTTTCCAGCTTTTGGGCTGTGCAAAAAGTAACATCCAAGTTATTTAACGTTTCCAGAATAAAGTATTAAGGAACGTCGTCGATGCATCCTGGTACTGTCGCAATACTGTTCTTCATAGGGACTTTAAAGTGGAGACTGTTGAAAATACAATACAAAAATTTGCCGGTAGTCACCAACAACAGCTGCTCCAACATGGAAATCTTAAGATTATTATTAGTTGTTTCAGATTAGTGCATTTAAAGAAATTTGTGGAAATGACGCGATTCGCTTTTATATTTTATATTATTTAAAAATTATTTATTTGTTTGTTTAAGAATCAATGTTTGAGTTTTGTGTATTTTAAATAAACATGTATATCCTTAAATGTCTTTTTTTGTTCTAATAATATTTTAGAAAAAAAACTAGAATACATTTATGAAATATTACTATTTAATATTTCTAAAAGATTTCAAATTTTCATTTCAGAAATATTACTGTGAAATATTATATTTACAGGATATTTTTACATTTCAGGCACATTTCAGAAATGTTTTTGAGATGTTTCGTATTATTTATACATTACCAATGTTTCAATGTAACATTGTTGAAATATTTCCGAAATGTGTTAGTGATGTATGGGTAATTTGTAGTCAGTAGCCCGAAAACCTCTATTGTACAAAATTTCATGCAAGTTTAAGAATAATTTACAATTTTCGTCCGCCATTTTGAATGATCCATATTGAATTTTGAATTTCCATATACTAAATTCAAAGCATAAACATTAGAATGTCAATTTTGGCCACTTTTGAGTGCTTCCTGGCCCTCTGCTGCGGCTCTAATTCCAGTACATTTCTCAAAAAAGAATGTTTTTTCTTTTTCACCCATTTGAATCATTTTTAGAGGAATAACAGACATGTTCGATGTGTTTGTTTGTGATGTAAGAGTTTAGACAAAGAAAGTTGTTTTACCAAAATTTTGTAACAAAGAAGTCATATGGATTTAATTTTAATTCTCTAAGATCCTAAATTATCGTGCAACTAATTTACTATTGCTAATATACTGATTTTTATGTTTCACTTATAACTTTTCCCTATTTTCTTGCTCTTAAGGTGCGTCCAAAATAATGTGCAACCATTCTGACCCTGTTTTTTATTTACCTTTACTGCTGCCGTTACCACTGACGCTAACCGATCGAGAATCGTCTGGAATGTTCTTTGTACGCAGGATGAAGGACTTCGCGATTCTTCGAATTAGAATTGAATTTATTCTAGGCTGTTACATTTTTGTATATAAATGGAATCTTTTGGAGTACTAAGTTAAATTTTAAAATGTAAATAATATTTTAAAGAGAAAGAAAGTGTAGCGATATTTCTAATTAATCATAAGCGCACCCCCCAACCCTCGTATATCCAAGAGGAATATATCACAGCTCTGGAATCAATATAATCTAGTATTAATTGCGGTGGTGAAATTATGGATTATTAACAAACATCAGCCTCTGAAATAGAGTAGAACGGTGAATATCAACAATATCGAGAAGTTCTGTCGAACTTCTATGAAACCATTGATTAATGAATAAGGTATTTTGTCCTGTGTTTGTCGTAAATTATTATCTGTATTATACAGGAAGATTCCACGTATATTCAATATTGTATATATCAAAATATGCTTTATAAACATATAAACATTTGTCACCATGTCAGAGAAAGTGTCAAAAAAAACTTTGTTGCTTCTTACCTTTCCAGATAACAATCTCTTCAAAAGAGTTTTGGGATTTAGACTGTTTAAGCCATCTTCAATTTCATTACTTCCTGCAAAAGTAACATAATCCGCTTCGTTTCCAAATATTTTATATCCCAAAGCCACCTAAAAAAATAAATTCTAAATTAATACTGCCTAAACAAAAATTACATCTTACGAAAAATAGTAATGGATGTATTATGCAATTAAACAATTTTCAAAGTGTAATTGTTTTTAAAGAAACTCAGCAGAGCTACTTCAGAATGATCTGTAGCGTTTACAGCAAATCGTGAAGTTAGAAGTTCGAAATTGATTTATTTCCTAATCTATCTCGTATAAACTAAAAGCTAATCTCATTATCAACTCTATTAAAACTGTTTTAATCACACTCCCAGAATTTTTAAATTACTGCTGAAATTATTTGGAATTTATAAATGTTAACACCACGCATACTAAGCAGCCTTCTTTCTTGGCACGTTGACAGTGATTTAAACGTCCTATACTTAACCTAAGCTGACCTAATTATTTTACAGCTACTTTTCCAAGCTTTTCTCTCACTAGACCAACTTAATCAACATCAGACCATCATGCTTAAACTGATATTTTTCCAATAAAAATACAATGTTTAATCTAATTATCTATTGATTAAAAATACTTTTTGATTCTGATGAAAACATTAAAACCATTTAAAATAAAATTAAACTTACGTTTTTATTTCATCATTATTTTATCAAATTGATTCATACCTTAGGATCTTTAGCGAAGTTGTCCACTACATTGGGGAGCCCGTCCACTTGGCTTTTAATTATTGCATTACTTTTTGTATCCCTTCGCCACCTGAGTGTATCCATGATATTATCCTTTAATGTTTTTGAGGTTCCTTTTGGCCCAAAAAAGGATTCCAAATAATGCTCGAAGCCATCTATTCGACCGTAAATCTAAAAATAAAATTGAATTCTGTAATAGTCTGTAGATCTATAAGGACTTAAAATTGACTGGCCAACGGGTGTTTCTTTTTGTTATTATTTATAGAAATATTCATTTAAAAAGGACAAATTGTGACGGCATAGTTAAAAAATGTTTATTGAAATTAATTTTAAATGAAAATTGATGATGCAGTAGGAGAAGAAGGACCAAAATGAAATACATCTAAAGGAACAATGCTTCAATAAAATACTGTAAAGTTAAAGAAACAATATTTAATTCTTTAATGCTACTTACCTCTAAAATATTGAATGATTCTCCAAACAAATCAACTGTCAGATTCAGCATTGCAGATTTAGGTACATACGAGTTGGTCGAAAATATAACATTGCTCTCGTAATTTCCTCCTGCAAAGTAAACAAGGTCTTGATGGTGTACACAAATGTGCAAGTAGTGTAATTCAAAGCATTATACGGTAACATCAGCAAAATTGCGATGGTTTATGGCCGATTTAATCCTAACTTCAACATCAAAATTGCTTTTTATTAGTATGCGAATATTGCTGTTTACTGGAAGTTTCAGATATGTGTAACTAATCAAACATCAAATGTGTAGATGTTTTAATATTTACTTCGATAAAAAAGTTTAATATTGATCCCCTATTTACTCTAACACAACACAAATTGTACTAGCGTTAGAAAAATAGTTTGAGATTATTTTTTTTTATAACTTATTAGCATTTAAGATTTATGTGGTGGTAGTAATGAAGTGATGCAATGAAATGGACGGAGATTGTGCAAGAAGTGGGCACATGAAACTTATGGAGCAAAAGAATATCTTCAGTTTTATTATAATTAGGGTTAAAATTAAGTTATTTATCTACCAAGGCCGTATAGTTGATCTTTTTTGATCGAATCAGAAATGTGCGGCCGAGGCGTAGCCGAGGCCCAGCAACTGGTTAGTTTTATGAAACAACCTGAGATGAATGTAACGTTACCACATTGCCAGGCGAAATTCATTAGATATTTTAACCTTTTAGTTGCTATGTATTAAAACATTATGCGATAAAGGCTAGCAAAAAAGAAGAAAGATCGAATTTACATCAGATTGATACAGGAATTCGAGGCCGAATCGTAAAATGGAATACCACTACAGAAATTTAGCCTTGAAGGCCATGGGCAAAGGTTCAGAAACATTGTATTTGACACTTTTGGAAAAGGGAATCTACTATAACTGGCCGTTTTTTAATCTAGGCAAAAAATCATGGAAAATACAGATTAATAAGAATTACTACAGAGCATTCTCGGTCAATAGTTTGTTCTATGCGTATGAAGTGTTGTTCCAAGATACTTTTTTGTTTGTTATTTGTGAGTAAAATCAACTGATCCCCATGAAATAAGACCTTATTTATGTCAGGTGACTTTCTATTATTTGGTAGTAAAGATAATAGTCCGTCAGATAGTAACAGGTTTAGGTGCCCCATTTTCGCATACAAGCCTCGAAGAGGGCTGAAAAGTACATCGATTTTAAGTAGAATGAAAGTAAATTTACAAGTGGCTCCTAGGGATCACACACGGAAAATTCGATTTTCCCTAACAAAAATGAAAGGTGATTTGTAGCCCATATTTCCACTAGGCTTCGGAAAACCAAAGGCTTTAATGTTGCAAGTGGCTAAAGGGTTGAAATAAGGGCATCATCTTCTAAATTTTTCCACACAAGTTCATCGAATTTATGAAATCGTACATCGTCACTAGTCCGAAAAACATATTTTCTTGAATGACCCGAATGTATAAGTGAATTTTGGGGTCGGAAAATTTTTCTGATAAGGAAAATCGAATTTTCCATGTATTATCCCCAAGAGCCACTCGTAAATTTTCTTTTAATATACTCAACATCGATGTACTTTCCAACCCTTTTCGAGGCTTGTATGCGAAAATGGGGCACCTAAATCGGTCACTATCTGACGGTCTATAAGCCAATCTGAAAATCGAAGCAACATTTTTTTAAATTGTGTTTATAATATATTCTAGATCGCAAATCGAAATCCGAAAGGTAAAAAATCTGTGAAATAAGTTGCTGAATAATTTGAAAATTCGGTAACATCAAAAATCTAAAAAATTATTAAGACCATCCCCCTGCCGCAGCCGGGTATCGAACCCAGGCATCCTTGTTTGCTAGACAAACGCCCCTTTCACTAGACCATCCACGACAGTGTCGAAATTTCTAGACAAAAGTTTGATGTGCTAGTTAGGGCCAAACGGCGTGCCAGGCTAGTTACCAAATCTTCTACAGCATCGGAGTACATAAGAAATGCATTTATGCATACTAAGCCCATATCTACGTCTGCGTGAGTCATAATTTTCATACTCAGGTTTACTTCTCTTGAAAACTTAACTTACGCAGACGAAGATATTGGCTTAGTATGCATAAATGCATTTCTCATATCCACCCATGCTGTAGAGAGAGAAGATTTGAGAACGAGCCTGAACGCCATCTGTCCCGAACTAACACATCAAACTTCTGTCTAGGAATCTCGACGGTCACTCTCGTGGATGGTCTAGTGGAAGGGACACTTGTCTAGCAAACAAGGATGCCTGGGTTTGATCCCCGGCTGCGACAGGTTTTTTCAAATTTATTTTCGAATTTTTAAATTATTAAGCATTTTTATTTTATCCAATAATACGAACAATATTACCATCTTAAATGGGATCAATATTACTTAATTTTTTATTAATTTAATGTAATATCTGCATAAGATGGTAGATTTGAGCTATAAGCAGTAATTGAAGTAGAAATATCCATTTTCAAGGAAATTTATAATTTTTTTAAAACCGTGTTCAATATCTGATTTAAGATCCATCAAATTATCATTTTTATAGAAAATAGCAGTGTCGTAGACACAGCTAACTATTTCTACCTTAGTATTCTGTAGAAACATAGTGTCCAAAGATATATTAAATAGCACAGGACCTAGAACATTACCCTGAGGTACTCCGTACTTTATAATTTTGCAATTACTATGGATTACATTAATATGTACATACTTCAGTAATTTTAATCAGTTTAAATGCCTTTCCTTTGATTCCGAAATTTTCAAGGATTGATATAAGTTGTTTATGGTCAATTATCAATTTTATATGAAATAGCAGTCTCGTAGGCAAAGATAACAATTTCTGCTTTATTATTCTATAGAAACATATCGTTTAAATGGATATTAAATAACACAGGATCTAGAACAGTACCCTGAAGTAGTCCTTACTTAATGATTTTGAAATTACTATTGATTCCATTGATATGTACACACTTCAGTAACTTTAATTAGTTTAAATGCCTTTCCTCCGATTCCAAAATTTTCTAGGATTGATAGAAGTTGTTTATGGTCAACGAAGTCAAATCCTTTAGAGAAACCGATTAATATTTCAATTTATATACGTTTAGTTTAGTATGTAATTATAAATTTGATACTTACCTACATTAAATTCTTCGAGATACATCGAACCTTCAAAATTTCTCGAAAATTTTCTTACATCGTTGTCAAATTTTTTAGATAAGTCCTTATCTGTTAACAGAGTTTGTACTTCTACCTTATTAGGCCTAGCTGATTTTATAAGATTTTTTAAGTGTGTCCAAACAAAAGATCCAACTAAAAATTAAAAAGTTTGTAAAGGGTGGTGTTTCAATTACGATCTAATATTTGGATGAATGGAATACGTACCTTGATTAACCTCCTCGTTCATAAGCGTATGCCTTATAGTCCTAATCATCAAATAATTTGGGCATCTCATAATCTGCAAATATGATGCAATCCTGATTTCTGCATCAACATTTTGATTCCTGAATATATGTTCGAAATAAGTTCTGGTATCCTCGCATGAAGTTCTTCGGAAAGTTTCAACAGCCGCGACTCGTATGGCCACGTCAACTTCCGAATTCTCGATAAGTTTAAAAAGTTCCTGGTCGAAATCCTCTGATATAATGCCGATGTTAGACAATGCCTTCAGTGTCACCATGATCTATGGGAGAAATAGTTCGTTTTAGTTGCAGGATAAGGAATATTCATGGGTTGGAGCTGGGACGGCGAGCATTGCTAAGTTTCCAGACGACTTTTGAATTTAAAAAAGAAATATAAAAGGGAGAGTAAGCGGTTATTCATATATTGCTTATTGGTATTGTCAAGTAGGAGAGCTGCATTTTCTACAGTGTTGTTTAATAATTTCATTCTGTAATCATTAGTAAAAAAGCCATTTACATACGAATAAAACTATATATTGGAAAAGTCATCGGTATTTTACGCTGGAATTACAAAAAAAAGGGACTCAATAAAGTTATCGAACAATTTTATAAAGAAGTATCTTTTGTAATTTATTGCAGACGAGAAAAGATAAATAAAATTAATATTATAAAGAAATTTTCGGAATTAAATCTTAGGAATTGAAAAAGCAGAGACACATAAATACTTGAGGTTCACATTTCATGAAGAATGAAAAAGGGATAGAGAAATAAGAGAATTATTGACCGCACAAGGCGTTAAATTATTACCTCATTCTAATTAATCACCTGATTTAGGCACTTTGTGGTTTATTATGTACCTTACAACTAGGAAAGCTAAAAACTTTTTTCTAATAGTAATGACTTTAAAGGAGAAAAATATAAGTAATAAAATCATTTCAAATATTCAAACAATTTCATTGTATCTAAAATGTCAGCATGGCCGTAACATTCTGTATTTACATCCATTAGTCTGGATACAAAAATTAAAATCCTAGATAGTTTCTATTAAAAAATACTTACTTCATCGTGCGTCTTTCTGTCAATATTTTCCGCTAACAAATGTCGAAGATGTTTCTCATAATATTCAACAATGCCAGAAACCGCGATATCATTGCGACAATTCTCGACAGACGTTTGAGAACAATATGTGTGGGTTAGGGTGGCTATACTGAGGGCAGCATTAGTAGAAAACTCTTTTTCTTGAAGCAGGTTTAATGCAACTTCCATCATCTCGCTGTCAGGATTCGGCAGAAAACCTATCGAGAATATGTAATCTTTCACAATACTTTTTGACGTTGTTTCGTCTAGAACGATGTCTTTCATGATAGATATGGAGCCGATTGTTGACACAAATGGGAGGGCGTGGAGCAGGAAACGTCTATAAAAAATTATTACAAAATTATCAACTTAAGTAATTTTATGCGTTTATGGTTGTAGAAAACATAATTCACAAAGCTATACTACTGTTTAAAATCGGTGGCATAAAAGTAGTATACGAGGAGTGTTAATTATGTAACGATGACATTTGCAATTCAATATCGTCTCCCTCAAAATAACTTTCTTGGGAAGAGCTGGAGAAGGAAGGCACATTTTCCTTTTGTTACCATTTCTGCACAGATTTTTCTCATCCTCAATTCATTAGGCCAAATCTGATGAACGGTGGTGTGATTTAAATGCAACCGTTTCCCGGTCATTCTGATTGTCAACCGACGATCTGAACGTGTAAGATACCGGATTCTGTCGAAATTTCATCGGTTCTTCAAGAAGAAAGCCTTCCGACGTTCTTTTTCAATCCACTTTCCCTCTTTTGAAACTGCTTTAAACAAACGAAAACAAGGGCTCTTGACAAAACACTGTATCCGAAGGCCCGCAAAGGTTTTACAAAAGTTTCCGTTGCACTTTGCCCAAGTCTTATTTCTCGACATTTTAGAAAAAAATTGTTTTACAAACCAAATGAGTTTAAACTCATATCAAACTTGTATCAATATTCACTTTCCGCTCCTCCTAATCTTACGTTCCAAGTTTTACCACTCTCATTACTTAATTTGCACTCCTCTTATACCATGGATACGTTCTACGAAAGTAGGATTTGGGATTGGTTGATAGTAATAGATGGGTTTTTCTATAACTCGTTTTCTATTAATCTAAAATAATAGTATACAAAATTAAAGGTAATTACATTATCTATCAAACCTTTGTAAATTATAGAGTAGTAAAGCTTCTGATTTGTTATTTCTAAAATCACAACCGAAAAATGTACTTTACTGTTGGACCATATGCAACCATTTACTATGGTTGAGATTGCAAAATACGCATTCAGTACATAATTTCTCTGTGTGAGCTTATAAATAAACATCAATTTTAAATTTCAAATTGACTTCTTTTGAAGTTAAATATTTATTAACCATTTTTTTACAGACCCATACATTTAACAATTTTTGTCATGTGTAAAATACAAAAGCGATACTTCATAAGACTTCAGTCGTTTTATCACAATAATACGCCAATCAAAACAGCTGGTAAATGAATTTCAATTTTAACGTGTTCTTTTAATGAACAACGAAACGGGCATTAATGGATTTGAGCCACTGGCGAAAATGTAGATTTACTACTACATTACTGATTATAATGACCGTTATTATTATATCTGGAATTTGAAAAAACTGTATATTGTATTAATTGTAAAGTTGCTAAAAAGATCAATATGTTATATTTGGGTATGCTGACTCTCACTATACCTTCAAAATTTTAACTGTTGTAATTTTTGATATTATTCAATGCCTGTTGTGGCATTAGCCAAAAGACTTGTCGTTTTCAGGAGGGAAACAGTCACTCGACATTTCTGTGATACAGTTGTAATTTTTGTTAAGATAATAAGTATTCATGTTAAGATTTAGTGTTTGATTTAGTAGTTTTACCAATGTTGTAGATTCAGTTATTTTATGGTAGTAAACGATTGTCAGTCAGTCTGACTAAAAATTAAAAAAAAATAAAGGTATATGAAAATCATCCATTTTATTTCCACAAAGTCCAACAATTTTTACTCAATTATTAATAAATAAATTCAATTCTTTTTAAAATCCACTCATAATCAATTAAGATATCAATAAGTAGATTGTCGTGATATAATTAAAACTGAAGTAGAGCAATCAGCTAACATTTGCTTTACATTATAACACACTAAATATTTAACAGGGACATGTACCCTGTGATACTGTGACCGTTCAACAGAGAGTGGATGTAAATGAATATTAGAATTACACTTTTCAATTCTGTTTAGTGCCAGAATAATGGAGCAAAGTTAATAGAATTTCGATGACCAAAGGGAGCAAGAGTCGTCAAACAAGCAAATTGATCCCATTTGAATGGCGTTTTACCGACTAGAATAAGTCGGATGTCGAATGGCTATTTGATGAAAGCCTTTAGATAAAATTATTCACTGAACCAAAATACTGTTCTCATTAAACGAGCCGCTAGAAACTCACATCTTTCTATCTGAATTAAGGTGTGGTTCAAATTGTTTAGTGTAGTTAGTGTAGTGTGTTTTAGAACTAAATGACATTGACATAACTTGTCGCTAAAAAGAATAAATCTGTAAGTTTATCTAAAATAATTCCCACTTCAAGCTATTATAAAATAATTAGTGAATAATAATTTATGATATAATCCAAATGGCAAAGGATAATATTTATTTACTGCTTCGTGGTTGTTTTAATTGATATTTCCATTCGAAAGTTATCAAAGCGATTACTGACAAATAACGCACAATTTTTGAATTGAAAAATTCGTAATTCGCTGATCACAAATAGAAAAACTCGTCGAGTTTGAAATATTTAGTCAAAAGATAACGAAAAAATAAACTCGTTGCATATTTGATCGAGCTGTACTGGGTTTGTGCCGGTTTTGTTAACTAAAAATGAAATAGCTACCAGATTTATTTTTCCAATGATACATTTTTTATCCCTCTAAAAACAATTTAAAATGGAGGTATTGCTTTGAAAAACCCTATAAACCTTCGATTAGGATATTACGAAAAGGGAAGGAACATTGGTGGGTAGAGTAGAAAGGGTGATAGTTCTTATTCACAAATTTAACAAAAAGGAAAGGACTGACAGGTCCGTAGTCACAAGTGCTGAAGGAAGAGAAAATTCAATTCATACGGCCGCAATGGAGGTGATCTTAAACCTCAACCTTATACATTTGATGATAGAGAATGTGGCAAAAAGGACACGATATAGAATGATCAGGAACGGAATAATCAGACAAAAGTCTACTTGCTTCAGAACTAAAGATACCTGGGACATACCCCAGGCTGAAATGCTAAAGAAGTACAGTTTTGTGAAAAACTTCAAAACCACAGAGCTGGGTTGCAAGAAAGAATGGAGCCAAGAATCCATCGCGCTTGCAACCGAAAGACGTGCTATTTAGTGGTATACGGACGGTTCCAAAACCATAGAAGGAACTGGAATAGGAGTATATGGGCCGAGAACCAAGCACTCCGAAAGCTTGAAAAAATACCCACGCGGAAATTCACGCCATCGAGAAGTGTATCCAGTTTAACATCGAGAGAAACTATCATAGACAAGAGATTATCATCATGTCCGATAGTCAAGCAGCCATCAAAGCGCTGAGCTCTTACGTAATCAGCTCAAAAATGGTCTGGAGATGCCTAGAACAATTTAATGAGCTAGGCGAGAAAAATAGAGTTACTCTCACTTGGGTCCCGGGACCTAACGAGGCACAGGGTAACGAGATTGCAGATAGTCTTGCAAGGAAAGGGGCTCAAACACCCTTTGTAGGACCTGCGGTATCAGCAGTAACATAATATTAGGAGAGATTAAAAAAGAATTGGGCAGTAGAAGAACTGGTAATTGGAACAATCTCTTGGAGCTGAGACAGGCCAAGATACTTCTGGGTGAATATAACCAGAAAAGATCGAAAGCCTGCATCTGCTTGAGCAAGAACAGGCTACGTATTGTAACAGGGATCCTTACGTGGCATTGCCGACTAAAAGGACACCTAAGTAAACTATGTAGCACTTCAGAAACCAAGGGCACTATATCTAGGAGGATATCAAATAGAAAAGGGAGATTTACCTAACTTGAAGTCACTTCAAATCCTACACTTCCTTGAGAAAATAGGATTGAAAGGGTCGTTATAGGCATTGAGACATTTCCTTAGTGCATTGGCGACAGAAGGGTGCACAATTGATATTTTAGGTCGCAGTGTATTAACACCTCACTCCCAACATAACATAACATATGTGTATGGAGAATTATTTTTTACATCTCAGTGTCGAAATTTCACATCATTAATTGAATAGTGCTATTTAGACTATTTTGGATTTTCTGTAAGAAATCAAGATAAATCCTGGGTTCCACATAAACGTTGTGCAACGTGTGTGAGACTGCTATTAGGTTTGGCTAAACAAGAACCCAGACATATGCAATTTGCTATCGGTACCAATGATTTGGACCGAACCAAAGGATCATGTAAGTGATTGTTAGTTTTGTTTGACTCAAACAAAAGGCATTACAACAAAGTCCAAATACACTATCCAGTATCCAAACTTGTCTTCGGCCAAAGACCCATCCTACATAGTGCCGAACTGCCTATGCCAAAGCCTCCAAATCGATCAGAAAGTCAGGATTCTCCTCCGGAACTTGTTCTAAGTCAGCACGATAAAGTATCTGAAGATAATGACCCAAGTTATAAACCGTCAACTTTAAAATAACCGCACTTATTGACACAAAGTGATTTAAACGATTTAGTACGTGATTTGATTCTGTCTAAAAAACAGGCTGGGTTTTTGGGGTCTAGATTAAAGGACTGGAATTTACTTTCTCCTGACGATGAAATAAAACTTGACTTTTCTAAAACAGGTGATTTAGTCTATTGTAATAAAGTTCCTGTTTTGATGAATTCAATAAATTTTTAATATGATCCAAATCAATGGCGATTGTTCATTGGCTCCTCAAAAACTAGTTTGAAAGCAGTGTTGCTGCATAGCGGAAATAAACTTCCTTCAGCGCCGGTTGCTTATGGTTCTGATATGAAAGAGACTTACAAAAATATGAGACTTCTTCTTGAAAAAATTGAATACAGTAAACACGCTTATGGCGATTTTAAAGTCATTGCATTTTTGCTTGGACTACAGCTTGGTTATTCAAAATTTTGCTGTTTCATTTGCGAATGGGACAGTAGGAACAAAAAAATCACTATACAAAGAAAGTGTGGCCCAAGGGTAAATCACTCACTCCAGGCTACAAAAATGTTAAAAATTATCCTTTAGTGAACCCTGATGACATTTTTTTACCACCGTTGCACATAAAGCTTGGACTGATAAAAAATTTTGTAAAAACTATGCCTAAGATGGCAGTGGATTTATATATGAAAGAGAAATTCCCCAAACTCAGCGAGCTAAAAATTAAACAGGAAATATTTGTAGGTCCACAAATACGGCAACTAATAAAGGATAAGAGCTTTGAAGAAAAACTGAATGATCAGGAAATTTACAACGACTTAATAAATGAACTTATAATGTTATATAAAGCTTTGGGGTGTCATATGTCCTTAAAAATACATATGCTGGACTCTCATTTGGATTTCTTTCCGGCAAATTTGGGTGCTTTGAGTGACGAACAAGGCGAGAGGTTCCATCAGGACATTTCCTTAATGGAGAAGCGCTATCAAGGGAAATGGAGTCCAGGAATGCTAGCAGATTATTGTTGGAGACTTAAAAAAGACCTTTCAGAAGACAAATATTCACGAAAATCGTATTTATTCTATATTTAAGCAATACTTTCTCTAAATGTAGCTGATGTTTTCGCATTTTACGAAAATATATGATTTGATGTCACAAGGAAACCTGACGTGTCAATTTTTTTTCAATTACATAATATTGTTTGGTTTAACAAAATTTGATATACGAGTAAGTTAAAATTTTGTTAACCAGTGTAATCTGGCAAAATCTGTGATGAAGACAGGTATTGTTAACGAATACAAATTCAGCACTTCAGACACTAATACTTTTGTCAAATTGAAATATAAGAATGCATAAAGAGCATTTGTATTCTACACATTTCAGCCACCTTTGTAGAATCCAACCCTTATTTTTAAGCTGGCATTGGTTTAACAAGTTTGATATTCCCAGGCATTATTTAACTACCATAATCAAAGTTGTTGAATCACGCATATTGCTCCAAACATTAATTTAGAATTCGATTAATGTAATAAATATAGGGATCAATGCATCATGTTATGTAATAAACTGGTCACTACTCTATACCACTTTAGTATTGAAACAATATGAACGACAATAATACGTATTAAGGCAAATAATAATGTAAAACCCATTACAAAAAATCTTCACATAATTATTCATTCCCATCTAAAATTAAAATGAAACTTTTAAAATAGAATTAAAAACGAAATGCGTATTCGTTAATTGTAAAACACACTGCCCGGTATATAATTGAAAATCGCACGTACTTTCCTGTCGGACAGAAATGGCCCGCTTGACTGTGTAGTTCCTGCAAAGCAGGATATGATAGGGAGCGTAAACTGTGAATGAATTTGCTAAACAAATCGGATAGTTCCATTCTGTCTGGCATTTTATCCAGTTTACACAATGCACTGATTGATTCCTTTGATGTCTCCAAGTCCTCGTGAGTCGGCTTAGGGGTTATGATATTGTGGAAAGTTAACGGAACTCTCTTGGTTATTTCTGTATCGTCTGTAGCTGGAGTGACTATTTCTTTTAATAATGTCAATTTTTGTAATACGGTTGTGGAAGCTCCTTGAGTTTGGGTTGAGAATGGTTGGAGAAGATAGTTTTCTTCGCATACTATTTCTTTGTAAATTCTGTGGTCCACTGCTAACACGCATCTGCTTGTTGATTTTAAGATGTGGTCTTTACGTAAATTCTATAAATAACAATTAAATATTATTAACGTGAAACAACCTTCTTCAATACGTACCCTTTGAAATAGTGGAACAGCTTGTGACTGAATAGCAGAATGGATTTTAGATCTTCCTTCACAATTCTGTAAATCTTTAGTCTTTTCTATCAACAATGTTGTTTCCTTAACTCCAAATACTTTGTAAGTTGTAGGACACTTCCCCCTAACATCTTCTTCGTCCACTGTGTAATCTAGGTCAAATCTTTTCATTGAATTCTGTAACATACTGAGAATACCTGAAAATTTCAAATAATTTATTTATTATAAATATTATTTGTTCAAGTAGCGTTCACTAATCTGTTTTGTCTTAACTGATCTATTAACTAAAGAAATATTTGCCTTTTTTGAAATTGAGAGCCCACTCCTTCTCATCATCTCTCGGACATACTTCTGATATAATCCCATCTCTAAACGAGAACCTCAACGAAAATGCGGTTATGACATCAGCAAATAACTGACTATTAGAGTGCTCGGACGCATCATACCCTTCATGAGGGATGTTTTCACTTAGTTTAACATCGGATAAGGTCAATATTCCGTCGCAAGGTGTTAGAAACGACAGAATAGCTTTGCTTTCGATGTAGAGGGTCGACTCGTTTTTGCTGGTGCCATTAAAGAGAGAACTTACTGCTACCGAATACTTGTATGTTTGCTCCTTGCCTGGACCGTATTTGAATTTTACTTGCTCCGGAACTGAAACAAAAATAAACAAGTTTAAAATAGTATTATAAACATAATTTCTATAAGACGAGCCTTTCCATACTATATTTTGTTTAATTCATCTGATAACATTGAGTAGGCAAACTCTAAAGTAGTAAATGATAAACAATTTTCTGAAATGGTAGAATAACACACGAGTCACCAGGACAGTACTAGTCGGCATATTAATAGGGTATTCTAGGCTTAACAGACATATATGTACATCAGCTAAATAAAACTAGCTACACAATAGAGTTATTTTCTAGTTTATGAAGTCTACCAGTAAACGCCAAATTGGACACATTACCTAATTATCAAAGGATATCCATAATCGATCTGAAAATGGTCGGGCTAAGGCGTAAGGAATGCCTGTGAGCACAGTCCTAATCAAATCTAATATAATCTAATCAAAAAGAACTGTTTAGACAACAAATTTTATCAATTAATTCAAATTCAACACTATTATAAATATATAGACAAGAAATGACAACAAAATTTAATGAAAATTCCAAACTTGAGACTTTTGCAACTCTGTTGCCGGTGCTGAATGAAAAAGCAGGTTAAAAACGTCTTCCATGCATAAGGAGTCCTGTACAAACTAGGTTAGTGCCGTTGTCAAGCATATTAATACCAGAAAGTACACATGGAAGTTGTGGTGTTGCGGAGAAAAAGTGGTTGAAAAAGGGGGTGAGAGGAATAGCAAATATGTGCGGAAAGATAACAGCTACAAAGATGATATTGTATATCTCAAACGTGATCTTATCACCAGACACTTTGTCACTTTACTGCAAACAGGATCCCTGTTTCCTTTAAATTTATAAGCCTCGACTTTCTCCAAAGAGTTGCAGGAAGAGGTGCAATGTTCTTGGACCGGGGTCCAAATCTAGCCGGACAGAAAACAATTTTTCTCTTTTTATTATCTTCTTTCATAAATCTAGTTTTTTTTTCTTGATAAATACTAAAGTGAACTTTACAATGTTCATGAAAGTGTGATGTATAAAATCGGGAACACTGAAATTATTGAATGTAGATTTTCACTGGTTGACGTTTGACCACAGCAACAATGGAACAGTGTACGGCAAAAACTGGCGGATCATTTTTTACCTGTTTATTGTAGCTTTTATCAATTAAAAAATAGAAGTCTAATTTTCAAAATTAAAACTAATTTATTAAGTTTATAAAAAATGACAAAGCAGAACAAACGAATCACAGACTATCTAAACGGAAGATAAAAACATAAAATGGTCAACAAATCAAGTTTAATGTTATTGCTGATTTCTATCTGTATCGGTAACGTGTGGAGGGTGGGTTACACCCCACGGTACTTAGGCCTCACTAGGCCCATTGTGCATCCTCCTAAGATGATAGGCATCTCCTAGCTCGTGAGGCAGCCTACAGATTTGATGTAGTTGACAACGTCGCCAAGAGGTGCTTCTCTTATATCGGCCGGTGTTAGCCGATACTCGCTGAACACAAATCTTCTAATAAATGAGAGCGTCGAGCAGATTCTGTCTAGTCATAGTCAAGTATTTGTTTGCTGCATTGTTTTCAGGATAACTTAAAAGCTCCCTGGCAACTCTGCAGTTTTTTGTTTCATCCCATCTTTCCTTGAATTTCACAAGAGAATGTTCTTTAATTAGGTCTGTCACTACTGATTTTGTCAGGCCAGAGGAAGGGCCAGGTACAAAAAGTATTTGGTTGGCTGCTTTCTTGGCCAGTGAATCAGCAAGACGGTTACCTTTCGATGTGGCGTGACCTTTGATCTATATTAAGGTGACCACGTTTTAAATGGATACTTCGGCCAAAACTTCTTGACATTCTAGTACTAACCCTGAATAAATTCGTGGTCTGTTCAGGGTGAACAGTGCTTGTCTGCTATCTGTATAGGTGAGCATGTTCCTTCCAGTGATATTGCTTCTGGTGATTTCTTTTGCTGCTATGAGACTCCCCGTGAGCTCTGTTTAAACTACACTGGCACTATTGCTCGCAGCCCATTTTATGTTAAGGATTAAGGATCTGGAGCACATTCCACATCCTGAGCCTTGTTTTGTTTTAGAACCATCGGTGTAGATATATGAATCGTACCTGCCACTTCCGGCTCTTCTATTTGTTCTGTTACAACTTTATATGGCTTATGGAAGATATATCTCAGTAAGATGGAGTCCATGTTCGCTTGAAGCAGTGGGAGCGTATCGAGCGCCTCCTGCCAAAAGCCACGTCTCGACTCACCAAATCCTATATCAGGTTCTATTCCAACCGTGCGGAGGCGTGTCATTGTCGTTAGAGCAACCTCCTTGATGTAAATATCAAGGGGAGTGAGACTAAGAATGATTTCCATGGCTCTGGTCGGTGTTGCTTTCATGGCTCCTGTTATGCTGTTCTTTTAATTTGTTCTAGTTTACGGATAGCTATTGATTTTTGGGTTTTCGGTACCCAGACAACTGCATCGTGTGTTAGCATAGGTCTTATGATAGCAGTGTAAGTCCATGCCACGACTCTGGGGGAGAAACCCCAGGTGCGCCCCACGGTTCGACGGCATTGTTCATAAGCAATGTATGCTCTTTTGACTCTGTTTTCTAAATGCGAGTTCCATGTTAACTTGCTGTCAAAGGTTAGACCTAAGTACTTCACATCTGTTGCAAAGTTTGGTTTTGTGTTTAGGAGTTCTGGATGATTTCTAATATTCGAAATCATTCTACTTTACAAAAACTACTAATTAGTGATGCGCGCGTACTTTTAAGATCTAATAAATATCTCCAAACTCCATTAAAGTTGCTGTTAGATAAAGTAAAATGGTTGTCAGATAATTTTATTCAACTACAGTATTTATATTTAAGAAAAAATACATTTCCAGTACAAGGTCCAATGCTTTAATCTTAATTATGATAAGAGCCAAGATAATGGAGGTCAATTTTAGCAATTTTCTTTGGAGAATTGAAGCACCTTTTTGTTACACCGTGGACTAATGTTTAATCTCCTTCTTCTCATAGTTTTAATTTTTCAACTAAAGATTTCAGTAGTTCAAATATCAGTTCCAGATGATCAAAAGCTTAAAAATGAAGTAAAAAAATAATCCTTTTTGTCCACCTACATAATAAAATTGCTCCATTTTGATACATTCTTATATGAAACGTGGAATGTGACCCAATGAAATAACGTTCAGTTTTTGTCATTAAATGTTCGGTATGGGGTGATCAGAACTGAAACTTAATACGGTAGGGGAGATACATATTGCCAAATAATGTGTTAAATCATATAGCGTTTCCCCTTATATTTTCCAAATCCATATTTTATTAAAGTACATCGTGTTTGACGAAAAATAAAAGTTACCTCAGCCTTATAAGAAAGGGGACGTCGGTCTCTTTGTCTAAATTTTTATTACATGTTACTTTGGGACATTCTAAGTAAAAGCCTTTCGGGTTCATCTTATTTGCTTAACGAAGTAGATGGTTCCAAACATTGGCAGTCATAAGGGAGGGACATTTCCTTGGCCAATCCAATTCGTAAAAATATACTACAAAAGAAAATATGTTTTCTAATGAAGCACAATGTTCTTATTTTTATATTAATATTAGTACACTCTGTGTGTTTTATTTGGATGTTGCATTCTCGGTTCCATTTGCCTTTTCGTGTTCCGACATGGCTTCTAGTACTGTTATAAAATTATTTTCCAAGGTATTTTCACTATTTGGAATGCCATATCATGCATCTATTCAGATCAGGTCATGTCATCTGAATTACAACTTAAAAATTGAACAGCTTGCCTAAATCCTGATATTGAAAGCTTGATTTCTAATATTTCTAAAAGGACAGCCGCGAAACGCAACCGAATATTAAAATCAGATTTAATAAACAAAATATTAATTGGATTGGATATCGGTATTCGCAGTTCAAAATATAGTATAGGTACTTCATATTGTACTAGTGTTTAACCATTCAACGTGTGATCTATATGATTATGGCCGTAGGACACTCAAAACAATTACATTAAGTTTTAAAAGATTCAGTGCCAATACGGTTGAGCGCTAAGGATCCTGGGAGGTAGACTAAGATGATAGCAGTTAAAAAAAGACAAAAAGAAACTATCCTTCTGAAAATCTACATCTGCCAGCCCGTCTTTTCTAATATTTAAAAGCCTTTTTGTTTTTTTTTTTGTCTGCAGATCCATAGCGCTCTTGAAGCTTTTCCTGTAATTTTCTCCAGGTGAATGCAGAAGCTTTTATGCCTTGCATTAGAATCCCCATGCCCCAATTCTAGATCCGCTGTTGTACGACTAAAATAATGTCTCTACACAATCCATTGTGGATTAATCTGTATGATACTGTTAACCATTAATTCATTTTAATCATTTCTATTAGTTTCATGCAAAACAGAGGCCGAAGCTGTTGTATGTATAAATTTCTACTCACTTATTACCGATTCAGATTATAATGATTACTTTGATTGACCATGGAACATTCTACGAAAATGTATTTTCAATGATTAAATTATGGAAAGCTTATAAGCTTCATTGCAGCAGAGGTTTAATGTACCGAAAACATATTAACTGTGAAATATGCGAAACTATCCAGTCTATTCATTAAAGGACGAAAGAGTCGGACATTGTCGCAACTCTGGTTGAAATTAAGTTAAATTAAAATTAGCAAAAGTTCAAAAACTAAACTCTCATAATTAAACTACTTACCTGTACCAGAAAGAGGATTCGTAGACTCTCCAGCGGATACGCTTGACAAATAATTAAATGATCAAATTAAGAGCAGTGATATAGCTACAGGGTATTTCCACTAAAAATCAAATACGAAAAAGTTGGTAGTTACACAGGAGAGAAGATTAGATTCATGGATATCGCCAAATATATAAACAATGCCATAAATGACCACGGTAATAACAAATGGGTAAAAAACTTTGTCTGAAATCGAACTGCAGGACAACTCATCCTGCTGCTATTAAAAAAATATAGATAATATTACATATTTTCCTTCCATTGCTTTTACTGGTTTCACAACGTTTTAAATAATCTCCGGTAATCATCAGGTGAGGATTAAAACAATTAAAAGTTTAATCCTGTAATCAAATTATCCTGTTCGTGTTTTAAAATTGTTATACTTATGTTTAACGAGAACTTACTTTTACATGTCGGCAAGCCGCAAATATTTGGATCTTCTAAAGGATCTGAAAAACAAAAACAAAAATATATTAAAATTTAGAAAAATAAATAGCTTTTTGATTCTTAAAAGTAACATTTAGAGTGTCATAACCTTTTAAATCGGCTCATTAAGTAAAAGCTATTAAAATTGTGAATGAAGTATATCGTAGGTCCCAAATTGAAATTCAGAAGCAAATCTCAAAAATCCCAATACGAATTTATAAGACCATCCCCGAACCCTAAGCGTGAAAAAAAATACTTGGAGATGCGAAAAAAAGCCTATCGTCGCCGGGATTTGAACCCAAACATCTTTGTTCTCTAGACAAATGCCCTTTCCAAGAGACCATGATGACAGTGACTGTTGAGATTCCTAGACAGAAACTTGATGTGCTACTTCGGGCCAAACATCGTTTCAAATCTTCAAATACCATTTGCGCGATGAAGTCTGTCTGGCGTCTATGTCTGTAGTCTTGATAACTCAAAACCAGATAAAGAGAAAAACACCAAATTTAAAACATAAGCTTTATTAAATCTGCTTTAATCTATCCTGTAATGAGCTCATTAGATTTTGAACATAGTCGGAGCACCTGGAGGGGCCGTTTTTCTACTTTATTGTATACTTTTATTATTTATGATTAGAGAAAAAAAATTCTTTTAATAAAAGTTTTTTGCGATACCGCATTTTTCATAATTTATGTCACATACATTATTTCTCTAAAATGAGCCGTAATGGAGAAATTTGAAGAAAGGAAAGCAAAATGTTCGTTGGCAATAAAAAAATAGAATAAAATGTGTGTGGAATATTTTTATATTTAATTTATCTTCTAAACACATTTTAATTTGATGGGTGGGGTTTTCCTCACCTATGTGTCAAATTGCGCCATCAATCATTTTTAAGTAGCTCCAGAGCGCCACGGCAAATAATAATAATAATAATAGCCGTCCCTTCCCCAGACAAGCTCATCCTTTGGGATTAAAATTGAGTCATAAGGGGGTGAATTAGGGAGAGAGAATGAATATTAATATATTATTATAATAAATTTACAGGAAACTCATGTGATGGACACATCAAATATTTTTAATAAATATATATGGTGCAATAGTGCAATAACATAAAACTGGTCGACTGCATCAACTTAAATTGGTCCACTCTGATTGTAAACACATAAATAAGCATTTTCGGGAAACTAACAAAGCTACGATTAGCTCTGATATACTTTGTTTCTATCAATTAGTGACGTCAACAAATATCCACAAGAAAATCGAACGGTTTACTCTATTAAACACAACCTCAAAACGGCAAAGCTTAGAGGCGAACTACAAAAGCGAATCGTGTTATTATAATTAAAGGATTATCTATTTAGATACATGATATTTAGTCGCATTTAATAGATGTTAATAGGTAAATCGGTAAAGTTGAGGCCAAAATTGGTGGCTCGGTAATTCCGATAATGCAATAAATAATCTATAGATGCATACCACATAAAAGTGATAAAATCACTGAAAATATGCATAGAATATTTAGTGGTTCCGTGACTGTATTTCAAATATGTTTTAGGTACTTTTCAGAGTTAGAGGTGAGGATAGTCATAAATATGTGAGTGGTATAGAGCAGGGAAAAAAGTTTCGATGTAGTTACATCATCAGACACACCTAGATAGATAATTATGGAGTTAATGTATTGTAAATTGAAAAAAAAAATAAGAAAAATATAAAAAATTGACAAAAACCGACTTAAAAAATATAGGAGAGGGAAGAGTTGCCTCCTTATCTTGAAATAAACTAATAATAACAACAATTATTACGTACACTAATATGGTGTTGAAAATATATAATAATAATAATAATAATAATAATAATAATAATAATAATAATAATTTATTCAACCAATCAAATTAAGATACAATTTGTTATTGAATAAAGGTACTCGATAAGTGGTTACCCACTTGTTTCGAGAAAAATAATCTCCTGGACAAAATTAACGCACCACTTATCGCACCACTTAACGCACCACTTATATTTTGCTCGATAATCTTTATTTATTGATAACTTGCTGTACGACAAGTAGGCCATGGACCTTGTTTGACAGTGACAGGTGTTTTTTAAGCTAGCTAGTGTCACGTAATACCTTGTTTTGACAGTAACTCGTATTAAACCTCGTTTTAGACTAAAACTGTGTTAACATTTTCTTAAAAAGTGCTGATTAAAGCGAAGTTTCTGTTAGAAGCAAGCTGTTGATTGTAATTGTTTTTATTACATGCATGTTTGAAAGTTCATTTGGGAGAATATCAAGTAAAAAAAAATTAACCGTCAGAGAAATATGTCACTGGAGGAGGCAGTGCGAGCATCGACTCTCCTGAATGAAGGATATTCAATGTGATATGTTGCTGGTTTGTTAGGAAGACATTATTCCAGCATCAGTCGCATAGTGAGGCGACATAATGAAACGGGTTCGTACCATGGAAGACCAGGACAAGGGCAAAAACGTTGCACTAATCAAATTGATGATCGTTTTTTGAGACAACGTGCTCTTAGAGACAGGAGAGTAACCAGCAATCTGCTTAAAAATGAATTAGTAGCAGATGTCCGAAATATCGCTATATCCTCTAGAACGGTTAGAAGACGTTTATATGAAGTAGGATTAGGCAACAGAAGACCAGCCAAAAAACCCTTGCTTACCAGAGATTAAATTTTGCAAGATTACATCAGAATTGGACCATCAATGATTGGAAACGGGTTCTGTTCTCCGATAAAACTAGAGTTAGCCTTAAAGCTCCAGATGGACGTGAGCGTGTCTGGCGAAGACAAGGAGAAAGGTTTGCCAGCTGTAATATCTCTCCTAAAGTGCCTTTTGGTGGTGGCTCTAAAATGTTTTGGGGAGGAATTTGCTTCGATGCTCGTACGGAGTTGGTCCCTATACGTACGAGGTCTATGAATGCCCAATATTACTTAGACAACATTATTGTCAAACATGTAATGCCTTTTGCTCCGTTTGTTGGGCCCAATTTTTTATTCATGCAGGACAACGCTCGTCCCCACGTGGCTAAACAGGTTATTGGTTACTTACATGATGTTAATATTCCTTTATTAGAGTGGCCACCTAACAGTCCGAAAATGAATCCAATAGAACATCAAAAAGAGGATTCGAAGTCATAGACCCCCTGTTTCTAATCACAACCAACTCATAGAGGTCGCTATTGAAGAATGGGAGAATATACCGCAAGCTTTTATTGAATATTTGATATCAAGCATGCCGCGACGCATGAAGGCAGTGATAAGAAGTAGAGGAGGGCCTACGCGGTATTAGGGTTGACCCAGATGCATTTATTCCCTTTTACTGATTTTTTTTTCTTTTTTCAATTTGGAGTTATGCTAGCTTATTTATGCATTTCCGGCAAAAACAAATTTTTGTGGAAGAAATAAAGCAAATTAAGTCATGTAAAGGTTATATTCGACTAATATTTAGCTGCTCATCATTATTTCAATGTTACTTAGTTTTATATTGGGTTTATATTGTAAATATTTAGATGAATTAAAGTGGTGCGTTAATTTTGTCCAGGAGTTTAATTAAAGAATTCAGAATTTACAGTTATGTATAGCTGTGTTATCCTAACTACTAAAAACATATAATAGTTATTGATCGATTAAAGAGAAAAAGTTAACAGAAATAAAATCGAAGGAAGGGATAAGGCCATACGCAATATAAAATAAAACTATTGCAAATTTAAGGTAAGTACGTTGGATTCTATAAGTTCATTAATTTGTTTCTTAGGAATTTCATACATAAGTTTTTTAACTTCTCTTTATCACTAATTATTTTTATTCTTCTAGGCAATTAATTATAAATTTTTAGAGCCAGATAAACGAAGGATTTCTGACTTAAAGATTTACTTGTTTGTGGAAGAACGTGTAAATGTTTATTACGCACATTGTACTAGTGGTTAGATACATGAGAGTTTTTCAAATTGAAGTAAAATTTCTGAGCCACACAATAGAAATACAACTAAGGTCCATTATTTTACTTTCTGAGAATAAGAGATCACTAGGATACAAGTGATTGTATATGATACCTTAAAGCACTACCCCAAACTATAATACCATATCTAAAATGGCTTTCTGCGAGAGCATAAAAGAGGGTTATTAGTTGCTTTTCTGGAAGGAATTTTTTTAAATATTTGAATTTCTACAGAATACTTTGAAGTTTTTTTTATAGTATTGTTTATATGGAATTCCCATTTCAAATGACTATCTACTTAAATTCCAAGGTATTTAATTTAAGATACCTGCAGAAGCACATATGGGTGTCCATTAAATTGTACATTAAGTTAATTAAATGGTAAGTATTTAGTTTTTTCTAGATTTAAAGTGAGAGACATATCAAACAAACCTTAATGAAATATTTTTCAATTCATTCCAATTCTCAGCATTATTAAAAATTGCAGTATCATCTGTAAATCCTAAAACATTACCTTTGCTACCAGTAGAAAACAGATTGATATAGATTGATATAGACATTAAAGTAGGGGTCCTAAGACACTGTCCTGAGGTACTCTTATTCCCATGTCTTCTAGATATTGTAATAGAAAATGGTGATCAACTGTATCAAACGCCTTACAGAGATTTAGAAATAGACATAAACATGGTTGATTTTGCTCCAGGCTGTGGTGTATTTGGGTTATCAAAGCTAATAATGCATCATCTGTAGATTTGTTTTTTTAAAACCAAACTGCATAGGTGATAGGATATCATATTTGTTTAAGGAAGAATTAAGTCTACGTTTTATTTTCATCTCAAAAATGTTCGATAAGTGTGTCAATAGAGAAAATGGTCTGTAATTACTACAGATAGATGTACTACGATAGAGGTTTTGAAAGCTGTTGGAAAAAGAGATTTTTATGCAATTATTTAGAATATATATGCGGATTCCCTATATAAAATGCCACAACTCTTAGAACTTCTGCACAAATGTCATCAGAACCCGGCGATTTTTTATTTTTTAAGCAGTTAATTAGATTTAAAACTTTGT